AGAACACTAGACCCTAACCATTAAACTGGCGATACTCCAGGGAAAGATAAAACTGATGTTATTAGCTGAATTCTTTATTTACTCACCTCTTGACTGCCAGAACCATTTATGGGTATAACTTTGTTTTTCAGCATAGTAGAGATTTGATTGTATTACTTTACTTAACCGGCCCATTATCTCTCTACCCCTCTGCTTCGCCCACATTGGGATCCTTTCCAATCCTAGCACATGCTAAGCACCCCCATCTCGGGGCCTTTGCACTTGCCCTTCCATCTGCCTGTAAGGCACACTGTTATCCCAGATATCTTCAGTGCTTTATCCCTCACTTCCTTTAGGTCTCTGTTCAAAAGCCTCCTCATCAAAGAGGTCATCCCTGACCACTTGATATAAAGTAGCTCCCCGTTATTCTCAATCCCTCTAACCTGCTTTGCTTTCTTCATAGCACATATCACCATCTAATTTATTATGTATTTACTTCTTGCTTAATTTACTGTTTGCTTTTCACAACCAGGATGTAAGCAGCACAAGGGTAGGGACTTTGTTCCACTCACTAGTAAATCTCAATGTCAGGATCAATGCCTGATCTATAGTGCCACCCAAGACACATTTGTTGAATAAAAGGACTGCATATTTTTAGTGGCTTAAGAAAGATATGATTAATTCTTAATATTTGTGACCTTAAAAAGTATTTTACCTAGCCAAATGGAAACAAACATGTGCCTTCATAAAACTAAAGAGTACAAGTTTACTTAAAATGTTTCATTTCATTATTTAAAAGGTTACCCACATGAGATACCTATAACTTTGGGCATTTTCTGTTTCCCTTCTAGAATAATGGCCAGACTTCTTAAGATAAAGTACACAGAATGACTAAAAGTAATTGTCCTAAGCACGAGTGGGGTGGGTAGGGAGAAGGGGGATTTATACTATGGCCTGATAAAATCATTATTGTATTTTCTTTTAGTAACTTATGAGGTATTGCTTTAATTAAAATTGTCTGTTTATTTCAACATTACTAATCATCAAGGAAATGCAAAGTAAAACCACAATTAAATATTACCTCACACCTGTCAGAATGTCTGTCACCAATAAATCAACAAATAACAAGTGCCTTCCAGGATGTGGAAAAATGGGAACTCTTGTGCACTATTGGTGGGGTTGTAAATTGGTGCATCCACTATGGAAAACAGGATGGAGGGTCCTCAAAAAATTAAAAATAGAACTACCATATGACCCAACAATTCCACTTGGTCATTTATTCAAAGAAATTCAAAACACTAATTTGAAAAAACATATGTACCCTTTGTTTATTGCAGTATTATTTACAATAGCCAAGATACAGAGGCAACCTAAGTGTCCATCAATGGATAAAAAAGAGGTGGTACATTATATAATGAAATATTAGCCATAAAAAAGAATGAAATCTTGCCATTTGCAACAACGTGGATGGACCTAGAGGGTATTATGCTAAGTGAAATAAGTCAGAGAAAGACAAATAACATACCATTTCATTTACATGTGGAATCTAAAAATCAAAATACATAAACAAAACAAACAGACTCAGATACCAGAAACAAATTAATGGTCGCTAGGAGAGAGGGAGTGCTGGGGGGTGAGAAAAAAGGGCAGAGGATTAAAATGTACAAATTGCCAGTTATAAAAATAGTAAAAGCACAGCATAGGGAATATAGTCAATAATACTGTAATAACTACATATGGTGTCAGATGGGTACCAGACTTATTGGGGTGATCATTTTGTAAGTTATACAAATATTTGGCCACTATGTTGCATACCTGAAACTAATATAATATTGTATGTCAACAGTAATTTTTTAAATTTTTTGATTTTTTAAAAAATTATTTCTGTTCATGTATAAGTTTCTTGTATACAAACTACAGTATAAGCTTCTGTGGACATGGCCCATCTTACATCTTTTAATCCCCCTATAATGCTATCTGAACATGTTGCAAATAGTGGGTAGTCAGAAAACACATTTATGTAATGAAAAATACCTGTGGGTATCAAATAAAATGATATTATCTGAATATATATTACATATGGCAGTAAAATAATAGTTTCTAAATCTCTCATTGCCTTGCTAGAAATACACTTCTTGTTGACAAAAGTCATAAATCTTCATAATATTTTAGGGGGAACAGAGAATTTTAAAATAGGTACAAAGACAAACTGTCCTAAAAACATTTTGCTTTAATTAGCAATAGTATCAACATTTGCAGAACATAAGGAGCAGGACATTTCAATCTGAAAAGCTCACAACAGTAAAAAAAAAAAAAAAAAAAAAAAAAAAAAAAAAAGATGGTACTACTTCCGTCTGGACTTGCTAACTGAAATTATCTTTGTAGCCTATGCAAAAGATTCCCTGCACTTTGATAGGTGTATGGAAAAATATCCTGTGTGTATTCCTTTGGGTTACTTTCAGAAAATACAGACAGGCCTTCTAGGGGGATTTACCGGGAAGCTGACAAAGCTCAAGCTTCAGGACCTCACATTTGCCCTGGCAGAAACTCCCGGCAACTGCTCAAGTATTCTTTTTCTTAACACCCCAACTCCCACCCCACCTACCATACACAAATGCCTAAACTTCAGGTATATAAAACCTGGACCCATGACTGCTGATCCTCCATTAGAATATTAAGGAAATGAGGCTAGCATTTACAAAAACGATTCTAAACTCATTTATTAATTTCCAGTATTTTTCAGTAGTCCATGCAGAGGGAGGCAAGTGGGGTCCAATGGTGCTTTCCTTTGCAGGATTTGTTTGTATTGTTTTTCCCAGGATACAAAATTAACTCTTGGAAACCATGAATAGATAAAAGCTACTTTCATTAAATATATGTATATGTAATCCTAGATAGTTATTGCCCATAAAAATTAGGTAATGCATTGTAGTGAAACCATATTGCTAGTGTTTAGAACTTAATTTCAATACTAAATAAACTGTCCTCCTTAGTGCTAATATAACAGGTGAAAATAAAAACCCACCCGTTTTCATTCTCAATTCGTTCGAGTCATATTGTATCACAAAACTAAACAGTGCAACCCAATGTTAATTGCGTGATTTAATTAAGGCATTACAGTAAGTCTTATCCTATATTCCCTAGATTAGCAACCATTTTTGACACAAAGATCAAAACAAACCAAAAAACCCTGCTGTCATCTAGGCTTTGGCTACCGAAGTTTTCAAAATCGAGTAGTGATTTCTTAAATCAAGTAGTGATTTCTTAAAAGCCACAGAAGGAATTTGGGGTGAGCGTGGGAGTATTCATAGAATCATACACCTTCCTAGTCCTTCCCCTACTCCTACCCTCTTCCTGTGTTTGTAACCTTAGTTCTTCCCCTCCCGTGTGTAATACACAACTAACTTTTCGGTGGTAGGTCAAGTGGTACAAATATCTGGCAGATTTTTAAAAGTATGACAGCATGTGCTGTGAGGTATTCCTATCCTACCAGCGGCTTTCCTTTGAGGACGGTCTCTCCCCTCAACCCCAGGACAGGTCCGCAGTGCATTCCTGCTGCCCCCTGATGCCTTCAGTTTGGGAACAGTGCCGGGCCCCTTCTCCAAGGAGAGGCGCCGGCGGCCCGCGGCCTCGGGGCGCCCTGCCCTTGCCCTGGAGGAGACACCCTTAGTGAAGTTTCCTTGGGGTTGGCCACACCACCTGGGTAAAGTTACCAGGGAAAGCAAAATGTTGGCCACTACGCACTTCGACTAAGACACAGCCAGTTCCCGGCTCACGACGCGCCTCACAGGAGGGGGAAGGGAGTGTCGCCATCGAATCCCAGGAAAGGCCGCGGGACCCACCTCCGGCTCCCTCCAGCTCCCGCCCTCGGCCCCACCTCCCCCTGCCAGCACAAAGCCGTCCCGAAGACAGGGACCAGGCCTGCTGGGAGGCCGCCTGGACGCGACTGGAACCGGCAACCCGCGGCTCAGGCCGCTCAGGTCGCCGATCGCCAGCGAGTCTAGAGTTCCCGACTCGGGCGGGAAGGACGCCCTTCCCGGTTTGTCCTTCAAGGCGCGGGAAGTCGACCTCGCCGCCCGGGCCCCCAGCCTGTCCATCTGAGAGGTCCCGAGAAGACCCGGCGCAACCCACGCAGTCCCGCTAGCCACGCCCGAGGTGGCGGCCTCCGGCGTGGAGCGCCAGGGCCAGCCGGGTCCCCTCTGGGCCGCGGGAGCGCAGGGGCGCTCAGAAAGGGTCCAGACGTGGGGAGAATCGACAAGCTACAGGCGACCCTTCGCGTCCCGCCAAGGCGCAAACTCGGTGCCTCAAATCAGTTCCCCTCGTTTTCCAAAGGCCATGTCCTCGCGCACCTGCGTAAAGTCGCCAAACAATGCGGGCGAGGGGGTGGGGTAGGAGTGGGAGTGGGCAGGGGTCGATGGGCGGTGCCGGACTGCTCCCGAGACCCTAGTCGCCCCCGCGCCTCGCCTCCCGTCGGGGGCGCGCACACGCACACCCTCCTGCCCAAGTGCGGGAAGATGGCCGTTTCTGCTTCAGTATAAAGGCTCTTTGTTGCGCTCACACAAAAGCCGCCAAGAGCCGCTTTTCCAGCAGGCCCTTTGGGCAAATCGAAGGAACTCAGCTGAATTTCCAAATGGCCCTAAGAAGCCTGAAGTGGTGGGAGCGACTAAAAGAGAGGGGAATAACAGGCCTCCCGCCCTCATCTACCCACACCTCTGTCAATATCCAAGTACTCGTCCTGGGAGACGGGAGTTGAAATCCTTGGTAAGGGAGGAAGGAAAAGAGTAAAACCTACTTTTACTACCAAGGCCCAAAGTGGGTATTAAACATTCACAATATTGTAGGGTTTCTCCCCTTAACCAGGGTAGAAACATAATCTGAAAAAAGTCCGGATACACCAAAAAGAAAAAGAAAAAAATAGCAACAATAGCAACTTAAAAAAAAATTAAAGCAAAAACATAACAAACCAGTTGCCATCAGCCCAAAGTGGTAGTAGCAGCAGCCGGCGCGTGTGATCCACTTACTTGTCCGACTCTTGTGACATGTTTGATCCAATGAACTCGCTCCCCTTTTCCTGGAGCCTCAGCCTCTGGTGAAACTGGACTTTCAAGTCTGTGCAGGTGAAGGTGTGTGAGAGCGCCCGAGATGGCAGAACAAGAGCTACAGGTAATTCTGCTTTTCCGTCCCCCCTCACCACTCTCGCTTGCTCGCCCGCTCGCGCCCTCACCTAGCCGGAAAGGTGGGATAAGGAGGGGCCCCTCACATGGGGCCCGAGCTCGGAGGCGGCCGGGCGGCGCGGAGTCCTCCTGGATCGTGGCAATGGGCAGTCACAGAGCGGAAAGTGGCGGACTTGGTCGGCCACAGGTAACTTTCTCGCAAGGAGCTGAATTCTTTCACTAAAGGGTACAAGCCCAAGGGACGAGCTGCGCGGTGATTGGCTGTGGGGCTCCCTCAGGTGAGCTGCCATTGGCAGAGGCGCGCTCAGGTAAGGCCCTTCTCCAAGTGCAGGTAACTCACTCCGAAGTTTACCCGAGTGGAGCGGCGGCACGTTTGCTGCGCTGCGACAGCCCGTGGGAGCTGAGGGTCGGTGCTTCGAGTAGACTTCACGCTGTTTTCCTTCTTCCCGTTGGCCGGCCGCGGGTGTGGCGGGCGCGGGGGTTTGGGGGGCTTGGAAGAGACAAGGAACCAGGAAAAAAAAAAAAAAAGCAACACCTGCAACCACTAGGGATTGTGGGTCGAACGGAAGGACTAAGGAGAGCTGAACTCAGGTATCCCAAACCAACCGGAATCGAATGCGCAGCACAACCACAAGGCTTTTAATACCCACTTAAAAGGACTGTTTGACAGTTTCAGAAGAGTACGGGCCTGAAGAGGGGAAAACACAACGACCGCCGGGTTTGTTGCGTAATTTCATTTTTAACATTCTTACCCACAACAAACACTTTTCGTGTCCCGATGTGTAAAAAATACCAAGCAGATTACAGATTTTCAGAGAGGTGAGCATCCTTTCATGAGCTGGGCACAAGGGCAGTGGCGTAGTTTTGGCGGGGTGAGATTTGGTTGAATCGACACTAGCATGGCCCAGGAGCACCTCTTCCATCTCAGCTCTGCAGCCTGGGATTCCAGAGCTGCAAACAACGACTACGTCCGTTCCTGTTGTCTTTTGACGTTTCCAGGCAGACATCAACATTTACATTGTAATTCAATAGAAGCAGCTACTACAAAGGTGTTTTATCTTTCCAGCTTAATTTGGTTGCTACGGAAACAATTCAGGATGAAATCGACTTTCTTTGTGGTTCTGTCACCTGGCTGGAAACGAGAATTGGCAAACGCATAATTAATTTGCAATAACTGTTCCCAAAGAGTAGTTGTGGAAGTTTTGATAGGGATCTAGTCCATACATATGAATTGTGGAACGAAGAAGGACATAAAAACCTGACCATATTTATTTCATGTTACATTGCCTGAGTTCATACAACTTCTATTTTAATCTATAGGGATCAGATATTTCCCAAAAATTATATTATGAAACAAGGTTTCACTCTCAGCAAATGAATTTTGAAATTTTATTCTTACTTTTTAAAGAAAGTATAAGTACACCCACTTTTAAAGATAATATTTTAAGATTATACATTACCTCTCCTGTACCTTCTTAATCTTCTTTTTTAGAGACAACCCCACTCCACTTTTAACTGTCTCTTTTGTCATATACCTCCCGATTTCTAAATAATTTATACTGTTATCTCTTTATTTATCCATTTAGTTGTCATGCTTCGACCGCCTGTTGTCTCAGATAAGGATTTACCCCTCACACCCCACCCAGTCTTCTGCCATTCTTCCAAAATAGCTGTCTCACCATTTAGGGGTTGTAAGTAATTGGTGACTATGGATATACCAGTCAGCAGAGCCTACTGGTGCACTGTGGTTGTTTTCTTATTAAATATTTTATCTATTCACTTTGTTATGCATCTATTCTGGTATTTTTTCTACAACTTATCTATCAAATAACTATCAATTTTATTTCCCAAATGATCAAACAATCAATTCCACTTCTTCCCCGGCAACATCCCTCCAAGTCTTTTGTTCTTCTGTCCCAATGGAGATGAGAATAATAAGTTGAAATTTTTCATAAGTTAAAAAAAGTTGCTCTATTATCTTCTAGCATCTGGTGCTGCCGTTGAGAATTTCAGTGCCACCCTTATTTCATATTTTTATGACCTGGAATTTTTCTTTCTGAAAAATTTTTAAATGATCCCTTTACCTCTAATATTCTGGAATTTCATAATTACATGCTGGGTGCTCAATAGCAAAGATGTGCCTAAATTCAAATCATGCCTCTACTACATGACCTAGGGCAAGTCACTTATTCTTGCTGTGCTTTAGCTTCCTCATCTATGATAATATAATGTGCATATATGTATTTATATATAAGGGGAATAATAATAATTTCCTCACTGATATGTCTCAGCCACTTTGAATAGTGCCCAGACACAAAGTGAGGGCACTCATTATTTTCAACTCTTATTTCTTTTTTGAAACTCAGTTGGATATTGAATCCTCTGGGTTAATCTTAGAATTTTTTTTCTTTCCTTTGCATATCTCCTCATCTTTTGTTCTATGTTGGGGAATAGTTCCTTACTTTACTTTCTGCTGAAGTTTTTTATCTCAGCTATTCTAAGAGCTCTTTCGATGTTTTGTGTTATTTTTTAAATAGAATTCTATGATTATGTCATGGTTGCAATAATTTCTTCTATCTTTTGAGGACAGTTACTACAGGGATTTCTCCTGCTTTCTGCCTTCTCCCTGCTTATTTTTTTTCCATGTATTTGTTTTAGTCCCATCATGTTAGAAGCCTTCCTCTCAGGAAAAGCTTCCAACCTTGACACTTCTTTCAAACTTAAGAAGAAAGTCACCTCTGGCCAGGTAGCTCAATTGGTTAGAGTGTCATCCCAATTCACCAAGGCAGGTTTGATCCCTGGTCAAGGCACATATAAGAGTCAACCGGGTAAATTCATGAATAAGTGAAACAGGTCAAAGTTTCTTTCTCTCTCTCTAAAAAAAATAATCAAAAACAAACCAAAAAAAGAAGAAGAAAGTATCACCAAAAGCTCTGTGTATAGGGAGTGAGAAGGAGTGTGCGTGCTCACTGGTGGGTTGGATATATGATGATCAGGTAAAAGCTGGTCCTTCCATAGGAGAAGCTCCCACACATCAGAAATGAGAGGTCTTTTCTTTCAGGCTCTTCAGTTTTTCAGAAGAAATATCTTCATTCTCTTGCCTGAGGGGACATTCACCTGGCTGCCTGGAAAGAGTTGAGAGAAAGGGGTCTGGGCGAGTCACTGCTTAGCATGCAGCCTTTCATAACATTTTCTTTCTTGTAGGCACAGCACTTCTGCCCTTATTTCTCCATGGTGTACACATCTCTCTCCAGTTTCTACTGCGGGAGTTGTAATCACCTGGCTGCAAGGTGTAGGATAAGGGACCTGAGGATCTAACAACTAAATGCCCACATTCACTCAGGGATCCTGGGTCCTCTCATCTGTTTCTCACTCTGATGATGTATGGCATCTCCAAGACCCAGGCAACTCTGGGGATTTGTAGGGTCATTGAGCTGTTTCTTTATTGACCTCTACATAACTTCTGCTATTCTGCTCATCAGTTTCCACTCTTCATGCACCACATCTTTCAGAATTGTGTTAAAATATGTCTTTTGCAGATGACCCCTCCTCTTTGTCTGGGTGGATTTATTCTTCTACCTCCTTTACTATCCTTTGCAGAAGACAATGAAGATAAATTAGTGTGGGTCAATCTATCATCTTCAATATGAAGCCATTTCCAAAAGTGTCTAAAAGGTTTTATCAAACTGTCCCAGCTTTGATTAGATAGCTTGGTACCCGCTGACTGGCTACCTAATGCTGGACTGAATCATTAGGTTAGTGAAGGAGAGGGTCCTTATAGACCATTTTAAATTGTCAATCATGAAATTACCTTAGTTACCCAAATGTTTTGATTCTTTTGGCAGCAGAATTATAAAAGAATGCGAAAGTTCCTGCCACACCCATCATGAGAGAGTACTTCTCCCTCTCCAAACATCTTTATCCATAAATACTTGAGTACAGCAGTGGTTTCCAGAGTGTGGTCTCTGGATGGACCGACAACATCAGGTCACCTGGGAACTTGTGAGAAATGGATGTTCATCAACTCACCCCAGACTTGCTGCAGTAGAGACTCAAGGAGAGAGGCAGCAGCCTGCATGGCTAACAAGCCCTTCAGGTGGTTCTGATACAGATTAGAGTTTGAAACACACCAGCACATGATCCTGACAGGAGGAAGAAGTACATTTTTAGCCATTGAAGGCAATCATTCTAAATGATGCTAGATGCAGAGTTTCCCAACAACTTTCAGTAGCAATGAGGTAAGAGTGGATTTTGCATGTCTTGATTATTCCGTTACCAAGATAGTGGGGTTTTTTTAAATATAATGGTGAACCATTGTCCTTAACTGAAGCAGTTAGCACATTAAAAGACAAAAAATGAACCTGGTATCTGCCACAGTATTCATCACAGACTTGGGAGTTTCAGCACAGTTTAGTTTGATGGTCATCTTAGGTGGCAGCAACAAAGAAAATTTTCATATAAAAAAATTAGTGATAAAAGAGTACTGTTTGTAGACTAAATTATTTCATATATGAAATGAAAGTTTTAGTTAAATTCCCAGGGAAGAAAAATGGTATTGTTTAATTCTGGTTTTATTTTCGTAGTAGTCTTTTTTTTAATTAATTTTTTCAAATTCATTTGTCTCCGCCTTCCCCCCACCACTTTCCCTTGCCCCCCCCCCTCAATCCTTCCCCACTTTGGCTTTGTCCATGAGTCCTTGCTATATGTTCCTTGACTTGCCCCTTCCTTTCCTTTTCCCCTGCCCACTCCTCTCTCCTTCCCTCTTGTCTCTGTTGGTTTCTTTTTTCTTTCAGTGTTGCTGGTCTTATTTTCCTTGCATCTTTTTTTGTTGTTTAGGTCCCCTAATAGGTGAGATCATATGGTATTTGTCTTTCGCCCCCTGGCTTATTTCGCTTAGCATAATGCTCTCTAGTTCCATCCATGCTGTTGCGAAGTGTAGTAGTTCTTTTTTCTTTCGGCTGTGTAGTATTGCATTGTGTAAATGTACCATAATTTTTTGATCCAATCATCTACTGATGGGCATTTAGGTTGCTTCCAACACTTGGCTATTGTAAATTGTGCTGCTATGAACATTGGAGTAGTAGCCTTTAGCATCTATAATGATGACTAATTGCATTTTTCTAAAGTAAAAAATACCATATTTGATG